GCGGGCTCAGGCAATCCACTCACCTCAGCCTCCCAAAGGTGCGGGATTACAGGCTGATCCACCGAGCCCGGCTAGATCCTCTGGTCTTTAGGTCATCTTTCCCCACCCCACCACAAACCATCATTTAATTTAATTTAATTTAATTTATTTCAGTAGAGATGAGGTCTTGCTATGTTGCTCAGGCTGGTCTTGAACTCTGGGCTCACAATCCTCTCAACTCGGCCTCCCAAAGTGTTGACCTCTGTGCCCGCTGAGGCCGTCTTCACATGGTTCCTCCTGCAGACACTTGGTGTGTTCTATTGTCCATGTATATAAACAAGTCTTTTTTTGTTAAATTTAAAGATATAGTTTATTTAAAAGTAAATTAGAGAAAGAGAAGGGAGAGAGAAGATTCACTTCCCCAAGGTGGAATTCACTTCCCCAAAGCCAGGAAGTATGGTGACAGCCATAGCTCAAAGAGCACATGGCCTCACCAGAGTCTAGCAAGGCAATGGCTCATGTATATAAATAACTCTTACCAAAGCCCTGTTCTGAATGAGTTCTCCTAGGGGCTTGTACTGGTGGTGAGACCTCAGGGCTGGCGGGGAGGGTGCAGCCTGTAAGCTCCCAGTAGAAAGTCATGGGCCAAGCCGGGCTCGGTGGCTCAGCCTGTAATCCCGCGCCTTTGGGAGGCTGAGGTGAATGGATTGCCTGAGCCCGCGGGTTCGAGACCTGCCTGGGCAGGCGAGACCTCATCTCTACAATAAAATCAAAAAATTAGCCGGGCGTGGTAGCGAGCGCCTGTAATTCCAGCTACTTGGAAGGCTGAGACGGAAGGATCGCCGGAGCCCAGCAGGTCGAGGCTGCGGTGGCCGGGAGCGGCCACTGCACTCCAGTCTGGGCGACAGAGTGAGATTCCAACTCAAAAAAAAAAAAAAAATAAGAAAATCATGGGCCTGGATCATACCTGCACCTTCCTCACATCCTCCCTGAGTAACCTGGGCTGGGCTGGTTGGGCTGTGGAGCTTGCACATAGGCAGAAAGGCAGAAAAGGAGGACTGGGAGGCATTCACCTCAGTCTTAGCACTTTGGGGCCCTGTCACACTAAGCAAGGACTCTCAAGGCCAGCGAACCGCCTCTGCAGGGCCTGCACACCAGCACCCAGCACGTGAGGAAGATGTCCTTCAAGCCTGCTTGCTGGGCTTTGACACAATCCTTTCCCTTAAGGGGTGACCTGGAGACTGCTTTTAAGCCTGATTCACCTGGCAAGAATATTGCAAGAGGAAGAATCGCACTGGATTCTCCCTTGGCCCAGGCCCTGCATCCTGAGATAATTCTGTGTCCTGTCACTGTTGCCCCGGGGCCAAGGCAAGGCCTAAAAATGGAAGCAGTAGTGAGGCCCACGGTCATTTGCTGTCTCCCTCGATCCAGGCAGGGTAAGGGATCCGTTCAGGCCAGGCCCAGTGCCTGGAGCCATATATAGCAGAGGAGTCTCTTCACCCACTGTCCTCCCTGGTGAGGCAGTGAGAGGGGTCCTGTGAGCAGCGGCTCTCTGGAGGCACCTGACCTGTTCCTCAAGGCCCACTGTAGCCCTTCCTCTGGGAAGTCTTCCTCAACCACCCTACCCTTTTTGAATGGCTTGCACACCCTTACACTAGAGTGGCCTATTTCAGGCCCTGATTTTGTTGAAAGGTTTGTGTGCCTTTGCTTCTCTCCGCGGGATTATTTCCCCTAGGCAGGTACCATATCCGTGTCCCTCTCATACCCAGCCCCTGCCCTCAGCTCCAGCAGGGACACAAGGACTCTTGTGTATTGTGACCAACTGGGGAAGCAGCTAGGGGCACAGGTCCGTCTTTTGACTCAGGAAACCTGCCTGTAGGCATAGTTCCCAGCCCTCAAAGAGTCCCAGGGAAGGTGGCAGGGCCTCTTATTCCCCCAGCCCAGGCCCAGGCCAAGCCATGGCCCTTTGCCTTTCAAAGGGCAGGGATGGCAGTGAGCTAGGCAAGCTGTAGTGCTCCCTGCCCCTCCTCCCCTCCTCCTACCCATCTGCCCTGGGCATGTGCACTCTCAGCACATGGGTGCCCTGCAGGCCTGCCCTCAGGGACGTGGTGGGGTATGGGGAGGGGCTTATGATGGGACAGGTCACGCAGATAGCGTTCAAGGCCTTGCCGTTGCCATCTGTGAATTATGGCCATTCCGACAGGAGAGGAGGGGCTGTGTGGGGATGGAGGACTACGTGTTCATCTGTGGCTGATGTCAGAGGCTGCCACTGACGGGGGGAGAGGGTGCTGGCTGACCTCCCCCAGGGCCAAGGCTCTCTTCCTCATCTTTTCAAGCAGATGACTTGTTAACTCTCACTATCCCTCTGAGTAGTAAGGTGGGGAGAGAGGTCTGGGAGCTTCCCCTGGTTCTAGAAGTCTCTGTACCTGGCTCTGCTCTTTGATGAAGGCAGAACTTTCCAGAAAGGAGACCTGATGGACACAGTGGGTCAGGTGGGAGGTTGGGGGTGGATAACCAAGGACCTGTCTCAGGAGGGGTAGAGTGCGGGAGAGGAAGGCCCAGGCTCAGGGGAGGGAGGTGGGGCTCTGCCGCAGGAAAGGGACTCCACTCACTAATTCATTCAACAGTTCTTTATGAACACCCCCTATATGACTTTATGGTTATAACCTTATGAGCCAAACCCTATGGCCCCGTATGGACAGCTGCAGATCTGATGAGGTGTTTTGGAGGCATCGAGGATGGAACCCCTGGTTCCACAGGGAAAGAAGGAGTGTTTCCACCTAAAAAATCGACCGTGCTTTCCCTCTGGGTCCCTCAGGGTCCCTCAGAGACAAGAGGCAGAGGGCATCACGTGGTATCAGATTAAACACCCATTTCTCCCTGTCTCTTGTCTCTGAGGGACCCTGAGGGAGAGAGCAGATGATTTGTTAGGCCATCTGGGAAGGGTGTTTAGGAGTTAGCTAGGTTTATGGTGGTGGTTGGAGACAGAAAGACAATGGGGTGAGGGTATCCCAGGGAGAGCAAGCGGCCAACAGCTTGCAGAAAGGCTCTGGGGATGCAAGCTGGCTGTCTGGGGAGCTTGGGCTGTTCTGTGCAGCTGGGTAGTGTGGAAGGCTTGTAGGGTGTGATGGAGGAGAAGACTGGAAAGAGTCAGGGGTCCAGCCTGGGCAACTTGGCAAGACCTCATCTCTACAATAAATAAATAAAAATTAACTGGGCATGATGGTACGTACCTGTAGTTTCAGCTACTTGGAAGGCTGAGGTGAATGAATTACCTGAGTCCAGCAGGTCGAGGCTGTTGCGGTGGCCGTGAGCATGCCATTGCACTCTAGCCTGACTGACAGAGTGAGATTCCGACTCAAAAAAAAAAGAAAAAAAAAAGACTCAGGGGTCAGAA